TTTAAAAGTAAGCATGGTATTCTAGAGCAGTTTAGTCGGATTTAAGCGAAGTAGAAAAAAAAATAGACTTATTAAAATTGGACAAAATGGTCAAAATTTAGGCATGATTTTCTCATGATTCAATGGCTACGATGTTCGATAGCATTGAGGGCAAAAGAACGTAAGGGATATAAGCAATTGTTGACGCATAAATTCGGAATGTTACAAAGTTGCCGGCTTCGTTCTCATCCTTGGGAAGCAATTCATTTCGTAAACAATTGACGCAAATTAGTGGCATCATTAGAAAAGCGATGCTTTGAAAACGATATTTCAGTTCCAAGGAAAGTGCCTTGTCTAAGTGGCTAGGGAGAAGCGTCAACATTTCAACAATTGAACCTTTTCATCACATTTGGCTGGCTCAAAAGAAGCATTGAGATAGAATACGGGAAAACACAGAGCAGTAGAATAGCAGTTATTACAAAGTGTAGTCGAAAGCGATAATCATAAGCATTAAATACCAGATGTGGAATCAAAGGAAATGCGATGAAAATATGTTTCAAACGGCTTCATGTAGCCAAGGTGACAGTATTAGCGACCTATTAGTGCGAAGCAGAATCGAATAAAAAGACTAGCATTTATTAAAATGGGTTTCCAGATGATTTTTCCTATTTTTATCCATACTTTAAAAGGAGGTAGAGAAAGAGCTATTCACTAGATCGTGATGCTAAAGTAAAGTCCATGAAAATTGGCCTTCGTTGATTAGTGCGATTGTTTTCGTTAACCGCATTCAGACGGTTCCTCGTAGGTTGTAGAGATGTGCAATTGGATTGTTTATATGCATGCAGTGTAATGCAATTAATAAAACCCATCAGATCCGCTGTATTACAGGCTCAATACACAGGTGTTACACTGTCTTTTCCCCTTCTCTTTAAAATGACAAGCAAGAGTTTGACTAAGTTATGAGCAAAGTTGAAACAGAGTACAAAGATGCGTTGATTCTCCAACAAATTTGCCTCATCATCCTCAGAAGTGTGGGTTAAGGCGGCAGAAAGCATCACACAGAAGTAGTTTAAAAGAGTTGCCTTTGATGTCGAAGTACTCAGGGTTATGAACTCCCATCGGCTAGACTGCCCATCAAAGCTCAAATACAAAAAACTCGAGAAAATGGTGTTTATAGATGTCTGTATGCAAAGTTAGAGGTGCAACTGTTCACATGGGAAAGACCTAACAAAAAGTACCACTGGCAATGACCTACTCAGCATAAATATTTGTGATTAAATGACCTCTCATTTTTTCACATAATAAGAGTAGCTAGTATACAAGAATCAGTCAGCGGAAATAAAATAGCATTCATGGAAGGCACTACAACAACGAGTCCACATAGAATAACGTCGCAAGTGACCCGTAAGGAAGGAAAATGGAAATATAAAATGTAAGTAGTGATGGAAAATTCAAAGCTGGGGAGGTGCCTAGATCCCTTATTGTCAAACCATTTCATCAGTCGATTCTAGTGGCTGAAATAATCCTGAGCGTAAAAGTACAAGAATAATAATAAACGAACTCACAGAAGACCATTGACATGATCCTCAGAAGACGGCTCATCAGCCAAACGATCAAAATCCCGACGCGAATTTCCGGCAGATTGAGCAGATCTTCGGCCATGGCCAGATCCCCTCCTTGTAGGATTACTGCTACCATTGTTAGTCCTCCAAGGAGGCGCAGAATTAGAATTTGCCAACTCTGCCGTGCCTCGATGCAGACTGGGGGGCAAATGGGGGCCACTGCCTGCCAACACGCCCATCTCGTCATCGTCCTCGCCATTCGCCTCGTTGATTTCGACGTTTTCGCCACCATCTCCAGCAGGGTTCTCTTCGTCCTGGTCCTCATCATCATCGTCATAATCAACCTCATCAGTGATAATTTCCACAAAATTTCGACCCCTGCGTCGGGGCGAACGAAAAACACGGAGAGGAGGAATACCAGAGAAGCTGGAACCACCGGGGAAAGAGTAGACGTCTGTCGCCACGATCTCCTCAGCCAAATCGGCAGAGAGACACATAACGTTAAGGATATCCACTGCTAGCCGAGTGCACTCATTGCGCCCAGGCCAGTTGGCGTGAGCGTAGGCGTTGCGAGCAATTATACGGTAAAGCACTGGAATAGCACCCAAAGTGTTGAGCTCGAGGATGGGTGGAAAGACTGTGGAGGGACGCATGCGTGAGACCACCAGGGCGATGAGACGGTTCATCTGCTCCGTAGTGTAGCTAATCAACTAAAAGATATTTCAGCAAATTAACTGATTTAAAAACAACCTACAATTAGCATAAAGACCAAATATGTATAGGAATCACTTTGAAACGTCCCAATGCTCAAAGTGGCCCCCATAACAATCAATGCCTAAGGGGTCTTTTGTAATCGGAAGGGTTCCTCATGTAATCACGGAAAAATAACCCGAAATACCTCCAGATCGGCTGAATTTTTATTAATTTATCGAAAGTCAAGACGGAAAACGCCAAGGGGGACGAAACGTGCCAATGTCTCCCTAAACTAAAACGTCTCATAGATCAAACTTCACCAATAACAGCAAATAGGTAGCACTGAAAAGTGAGAAATAACTAATTTCCAAGAGAAATCCACATTTCTGAGGACATCATAAGCCACAAAGAGAAACGTGGAAACGATGACTCCAGTAATCACTTAGTTGTGAGTCACGTTAAATGATGAAACTAAGCGCGATACTAAGCCGACCCACAGAAAGCACAAATTGGCCAATGAGCAAAAAGAAGTAAGGTCTCTAAGTACACTAACAAATGAGTGTATTCCGCGAACTTACCCTGCTTCCGGCAGCTAAAACCAACTTCGGTGGTTCGTCAAAGACTCCCGCCAAGGAGGGATCGAGAGAATCGATCCAACGGAGGAGACTAATGTCCAGATAACGCCGTATTGTGAGGAGACTGGCGCGCACTACATGCCATGAGGCCGTATCCTTTTGAACGTTGGTCTGATCCTCTGTCAGACGGATTGGCAACACGCAAAGCTGAAGTTAGAAAGTAGAAACACAAAAGTTATCATAGTGTAGCATGATCCAGCTTCAACTTCTAAGCGACTCCATACTAAATGTAATGAACAGCTAAGAGGAATACGCAACATGGACCACGAGATATAAAGCCGTAATGGTAATGCAAGACCTGAGAACTACTTAAAAAGAACCAACCGACGGGAAGGCATTTACATGACCCATACGATAAAGAGTACCACGCTTCTGCATGTCGATGGTCGTACGAGATGTGAGTAAATTCCTTAATGCAACGAAACTGTGCGAAACTGTGTGAGATTAACCATTCAGTGATTATGGTAATTGTAATAATTCAAGAATGCTGCTTTAAATGGCTATACAATGCGGAGTCAAAACAATTTCTCGCATGTGTACAGTACAAAACTTCATGCTTCACGGAGTCTAAGCAGTCCACTGACAAGCAAGCATTGCAGCAGTAGGAACCTGCGAATTCACTACCAACGACATCGATGTAATGGGGTTCATCAGGTCAAATCGCGTGAAATAATTCTCTTCACAGAGTAGCTCAGGTGTGGTAGATCTGAGCGTTAATAACGTTTCACAGAACTGAAGATAGGAAATGAACCTGCTGTCGGGTAATAGCTTTTCATGTTAAGGACCTAAATGGTCCAATCGAGGTTCCAGAAAAAACATCACTATTTTACTAAAGTTGTGACTGACAGTGGTTCCAGTATTACCGACGCACGGATTGTACCACATCCACAACCCCGCCCCATCGCCAGTAATGAAGACCATGACCCTTATCGCTATGCCTGGTTGAACCGACTTATTAATTTAGAAGAGTTGAGAAAGAATGCAATGAAAAAAAGGGTATCTAAACTGTTCACCAAACGGCAGCATTCGCATTCCAAAAGCATGCTAGCTCTTCACATCGATTACGGTGCATTTCATGGAATCATTAAAGAACGAACTCTATCCGCAAAGTAGGGTGATAACGATGGCCATAGTTCGGGGAATTTCACAAGACCACACTTGTAAAATGTAATTTCGCCTATTATTTATGGAAGTTACGAGGAAACGCGTTCATCTTACTACATCAAGGGCGCTACAAATGACGTCACGTGGCACCACGTGACTAAAGATTTCCCCAATGTTAGTCTTGGAACTTTACTTTTCAGAGGTTCTGAACCACGAAAGCCAAATAAGGACAAAGAGGAGATAGGAAAGAGGCAAAAAAAGCACTCACAGCATTGAAAAGATAGCGAAGACCATTGCGTGCAGTGAATATCCGGAAAAAGGCGCCATAACAGAGGGCAATGTTGAGAAAGTAGAGAGCATAACAGCGCGCCGAGGGATGTGAACACTCCACTAGCCACAAAGCGTACGACATCAAATCCTCCAACAACTTTGGTCTAAGAGTACACATCTACCAAAGAAGGAAGGACAAAAGATATTTATACCACATTACTTTTAAGCGTAATTCATTTGCAGGATTCGTTTATTAATCTCCAAAAAACTGCACTAAAGATGTTATAACCTGTTACCACCGCCAACTAACAGTAATTTTTGGGCTTGAATATCGCATTAAATCTCGGGTACTATCTCCGATGCTTCAGTACACGATCTATAAATAGAAAGCACTTTAAGAGCTTCTGTCATCGAAGCAAAGATTAAGCCACAGTTATTAACTGACGTGCTAGGATTGGCCCTTCCTCCAGATTAGGCAGAATGGAGCAGTCTTAGTTGCCAATGGACCGACTTCAATAAGGTGGCGGATAGCTTCACTCATGTCACCTGTTATGTGCCTGCTGGTCCTTTTCCTACCTTACAAAAATGCCACTTTCAGGTTCGAAAGCCTCAAGGTTTTGCGCTCTAAAACGACTCATTCATAGAACCGGACTACAGCCTTAGATCCATGAGACTCTTCTTACGTAGCATACAACCACTCCTACCATTAGCATACTTAAATAGTAAGGAATGCAACCTTTCAAGGGACAGGCGCTTGACCCATTCCACGGAAATCAAATCCTGTTACGTGTAGGACACGAATAAAATTATTAGAACCGTCAAATATAATGACACACCCTTTCCATGGCGTCTTCGAAGTACGAAGTGTAATACATCACTACACCAACAGCAGTAGCAGCAACTGAAGGTCTAGGCACCTTCATCAATAATTCCAATCCCTCTGACTCGACAAAATCTAGATGGATGCACCGGTGACATAGGAGATTGGCCAATAGACGTAGTGCCTCAAAAGTGAGACGTACGTCACGCGATGAGTACTTTGGCTCTAAGAAAAGGTAGACGTATTTCAACACGCCTCCGTCGTACATGAAGGGCATCATCTGGAAAAGAAATGGCGGTCACGAATACTTACACCAGAGAGATAGAAATGAAGCATTCAAATACATACGTCTTGATACTCCGCTAAAGATGTGAGGTATGTCATACAGAGTCGCAACTTAGTTTCCCAATTTAGCGGTTCCAAAGAGAAGGAACCCAACCGGCGGCTAAAGTCTCTGTCATTATTTGGGGTAGGATCTAAACACTCGAGTAAAAAAAAATTCGCATGATCCTACGTTGAGCGATGTCCTGATCGAGGGCTGTCGTGTAGGTCGCCATTCTTTCAAGGACAACGGACACCTGAAGAGCTACAATAATTTCTATGAGACTTACTAAATCAATGTTCCGCTGTTTTGTAACGAACAACAATTCCGCGTTGTCGAGGATGGAACCAAGAATGAGAAGAGCATAGCAATTAGTTGGTTCGGCATCACTGAAGGCAAACTTGTACAAGGAATTCACGGTACTGTCCTAAATCAAACAGTATGGAGTAACTGAGAAGCGGAAAACAAATTTTACCGTTTCCGAAACTGTTACCGAGATAGTGACACCGAGTTGGATGCAACACAGAAGACGAGCTGCAGCTCGAACAGTGGGATTTTGGGGGTCATCGCTGCAGCAGAGATATTCTGTAAGACGATTAAAAAAGGTGTCGTGGGCGGAGATAAGACGCAATAGAAGTCCAAATTCGCATTTGCTTTGGGCTCGCAGGGGATGTCTATCATCCAGAGGATCAGGATCGGCATGATAGTAAATGTTGACTTGCTCCTCAAAGAGCTCAGCCAGTCTAAATAAAAGTAGATGAAAAACTAAATGAACCTACTGAGTTAGTATTTCCACAGGGACGTATCCTACTTGATTTCGCTCGGATCGCCATTGTGACATCAACGCTTCGAAGCGTTCAACAGCCAACGTATCCTGAGTGTCTGACATATGTACACTGAAAGAGTAATTGTTGTTTTCAAGATCCCATTAACCAAGAAAAGTAGGAAGACACAAGGCAATACAACGGAATCAATGTCAACAACAAGATTATTTTGAACCTTTCACACCTAACAAGACTAACCTCGATTGAGGTAAAATAGCTATTCCAATAAAAAGGCAGAACGTTTAATCCACACTCCAATCCATTTTTTGTTTGATAAACACAAGTCCACCCTAAATACTACAGCCTCACTGAAAAAGCCTTACTAATGATAGGTCGACAAGACTTGTCCTGAGTTCTAGATATTAAACCACAAGGCTACACGAACGTATGATCAGTAAATGCACTGTTTATAGTAAAAGGCTCCATGAATCGGAAACAAATCATCTTAATGGGAAACATGCCTACAATTGGAAACTTCCACAGAGCTTCCGTGCAGAAATGGGTTATCTTGCTCTCGAGTGATAACGCAGGCTAGAATTGACCTTTCAAATGGAGAGGGTCCCATAAAACTAAACAACAATTTTTGTTCTAGAAGAATGTTTTGAGGCTTTAAACATTAACTTTTACGGTTTAACAAAATAGAGCATTAATTAGCATAGGACAAGATGTGTTTCGTCGCAAATCTAAGAAAGTTAACTCGAGGAAGGATGTTAAACTTATTGCTTAAAGTGGTAATTTTATCCAATTTGTTCATGCAATTTTGAAGCCTTAATGAGTGACATCAATGCAAAATGCTTTAGTGGTCCACGTAGAATATAATGAGACACCGCTTGACCAGATCATCTTGATTTGAAAACGGCTGAAATAAAGTGTTGTCGCGAACCTTCGCTGTCTGCGCACGCGTTGGCGTTTCGCCCACTGTGCCAGTTTTGGTTAGCTATGCTACCGTTGCTCATAATTTGAGGCACTGGTTTCAAAAATACTTAAGATCAAACGCGACTAAATGGAATTTTGTTGTTTTTACTTAGTTAAATCACACTCTTCTTGTAGTTTTACTTGATTTTTGCTTCTTGAATGAGTATTAATGCATAAATGGGTCTTCAGTAAGTCAAGTTGTCAAATCGGGATCACGGAACTAGTGATGCTTTCCCCCTAAGTGAAAAGGCACCTCTTCAATACGGAGATCTATTTCACCTCACCAAGTTGTTCCATCAGGGCTTGAAAACTTTTGTTCTGTTCTTTTTGCCTTTTATAACGAAACTGATACCAAATGTATGGAACAAAAAGCATAAGGAAGCGCACTGTAAGATCAAACAGCTCCGCTAAGGTATAGAGCGTTATGCCGACATACAAGCCCGAAACACCACCAAGTTCGCTTAGAAGTTGAATCACTGTGTACGCGCGATCTTCTACCACCTAAAAATAAGAAGGCGTAAATTTTGCGAGTTTTCATTGCCGAAACTTCAGGAGGACAAATCTGTGTTCTTACTTGACTAACGCCTTCAGAAATGGGACTGATGTCCAGAAAAATTAGCTCCGTTGAGTTAATCTTTTGGCCGTTCAACTGTATATGCGGCGTGAAGCTATTATTCGTGCTCAGAAGTTGCACACGCTCAAAGTATGTTATGAATCGCTCAGGAGTAAAGTCTTGCTTTAGGTCCGAGGAGTAGTGTAGATGCACATGAAAGTCCCTCTGGTCGCAGCGCAGCGGACATCCTTTTATTCCATCACCGGGAATTGTGGGTACCACAGATTTCACGATCTGTGTTTACCAAATAACGTGAGTATAGATGCTTCATGAAATGAATTCTAGAGGTCTTGAACGCAGAAATGTGGTACGCTAAGGTGCATGGACTCACCTCAGCATCCGTCATATTTTCTATTTTATGAACACAGGCAATAATTTCGGGCATCTTGATGACATTGCTAGAACTCTGCTCGACATCGAGGCAGTATTTTAGCCCTATATGCCGTGCGCTGTAGGGAATGGAATAGGCGTCAGAGAAACATCCGCACTCTTTTTGGGTCAGAAGCTGCCGGAAATTTGCCAGACACGATTGTTGAGTGTACTCAAACTCTGATAATGTTTCATCCTCCTTAGCTAAAGGACGCGATTATTAGCTTTTATTTGCTATCCTTCATTGCCTTTGAAAATGGAATTTTATCCTTGAACTTTTAGAAAACTTACGTTTGTCCGATTTAAAGTTACTGTCAGACATGCGATCATGTCTGGCTAGCTGGATTTTTGGAATGTGTTTTGAGAATAGACAGGGACGCCTCTCAAGATTAATAGAGTTCAAGTCCATTGATGACAACCCAATTCTTGTGAATCGACCGTAGCGCAGAGTTAGTCCGTTGGCCATATTCTAAGGCATTTTAACGTGTTAGCAGATTTGAAGTGGTCGACAAATCGCTACAGAACTCCACAATTAAGACCAGACTACCTGTAGAGGATAATTTGGAAATGTTTTGTGCTCATGGAAAACCACATAAAATCCGTCTTTAGTCGTAAAAGTTGCTTCTAGCGAAGCGTTGGGACGCAGATTGCTCTTGTTGAGGGGTGCCACATTTGATTGCACGAGGAAGGGTTCGTTTTCGTCTAGCACTAGCAGCGGTTGAGCATTTCTCGAGCCTCGGTGCAGCACAATTTGTACTCCGTGTGTCGGTCCAGCCGGAAATGGTGGATTTCGTTTGATACGCAATGTGAAGCATCGGTAATATACTGGATGCTCAGTCACTAGAAATTGGTCCAAACAGTCTACCCCGTTTAACTAAAGATTGGTAATGAAAAAGCGCCTTTACACTTCACTACTAGATGTAAAGGGTGACGAGGCACTTTGTTTCAGGAATTTACCTCACAAAATATAACATGATCGAATAATCGTTTCCCTAGTTTCAAGGAGTTTCGATAGAACTGCCCAAGAAGGCTTCGTTTAATGTAGGCGTTAGGGGACATGTTAAGAACGTCAGGATTTCGCCACCACTTTTCCTTCGCCATGGCGTAGACTCGCTCTATTGGTGCAGAGGTTTCATTGTCGGCGAACACTTGAGCGTCTGTAAAGGGACTGTGTGGACATAATGTGATGTCTGGATACTGAAAGTCCATGTTATCATACTTAATGGCAGTGAGGATGGGATAGGCCTTGAAATGCCGAATCAGATGGGCGGTGTGAAATATAAAAAAGATAGAACAGAGAGTCACTACTAAGGAATAGTAGATGCGAGTTTTTCCTCGAGTGGTGGAGAGGTGGGCCGGTCCATGAAGCGTGGTTGTGCCAGCAAAGTCCATCCACACAATCCATCGAAGGAGACGCATGCGCGCGCGAGCAGTATTGCGACGTTGACGGTAAAACTTCTCCCTCTCAAGGCTACTTTGTGCATCGGCTAATGCGGAGGTGTTAGTGTTGACACGCTCTTTTCGGTGAAAACATCTCCAAAATACTACCATTTTAGAAAGAAGATAGCGGTACAGCTACACGTTGAATTCGGTTCACTAGAAGGTGGCGAGAGGTTTGAATTGGTTCACGTGGAAAATATGGATTTTCGACTTTTCACATTTGTGATATTCATCTCGAGGCCGCTCGAAATGTCTACCATTGACCATGTACGCAAGGAGCCATAGTTTACGTGGCGAAAACGGACTAGGTCTATCGAGTACCCCATGGACAGCTCTCGCCAGTCGAAACTGATGGACGTGACTCGAGCTACCCGCTTTACAAACCGAGTCGAAGTCGATCCCCAAGCACCAGGAGCCACATTGCACATTTTCTGAGCGGTCTGCAGGGAGAGTGGTGTGTGGGGTTGCTGATCTCACTGTCCAGAATAGAGATGTGTGCTAGCAACAACGAAATATGCATCAAGGAATGAAATAGTCTGTGCAGGCCACTAAGACGGGTAGCACATGTTATGCATTACCGTGTGCTACCTCATCTCCGGAATATTCCACAACCGCAACACTTCATTCACAGAAGGTCCCAGATTCTTTTTTCCTCTTTTGGATATAATTGATAGCAGATGCGGCCATCCGCTCGCGGGAGAAAATATTTAAAAATTTGTGCAAAAAATCCACCTCCCTTGAAGCGGCCTGACTGATGTTGTTTAGGACAACGAGACAAGCTCCATAGCACCGCCAAGACTTTGAGATTGTTGAAATAAACAGTTTTACTCCGGTTGCCCTCGCTACCTCCTCTGTGCTAAGATTCTCACCCCTTTATGGGTGAGAAATTTGGCTTGAATCAGATTTAGTCATTATTGGGACGTGGTGGCACAAAATTGCATCTCGTGAGAAAAGTAAATGAGATTACTCCAGTAAACAAAATTTCACCAAAAGCCTCTCTACGAAAAGCAGAACGCAATCTCATTTTGACTAGCCTATAACCCAGCGTAAATCAAATCAAGTCAACAGATATTTGACGCATGTAAACTGGTCTTTTAAAAGGTTAATTCTTTAAAAAAGTTCCCATAGTGCCATATTTTGCAGGCCTTAGTGTCAGAGCGTACGTGAAACCCAATGTTAACGCACCAGACTTACTGACTTCATTTTTGACAACTACCTGTATACGACTGAGGAGGGGGCTATCGACTGCAATGCAGGAGCTCGCATTTTTGCCCACCTCTATTGTTGGCCACTCAAGGCGTATTGCAGGCCTTAGCTAATAGAGTGATTGCTAACGCATCTAGAAGTGCTTCGTTTCGAAGCATTTCAAAAGGGAACAACGACAGCAAAAAGAAAGGAATCAAAACAATCCACCAGGTACGAACTTTACGAAACGAACGAGTACAACTGCGGAGACGATTTTTCTCTTGTGATTTTGAGAGTTTATGCTCTAGCGCTACTGTGCGAAAGATCATAGTGAGGTGTGGCACGATTGCTTGAAATGACATGTCCTCTTACCCCTCTATAGCCTTTACTTGCTCGATTTAGGTTTTGCTCAACCTAAGCATTTGGCTCATTATCCTTCGCATTTTTAATTCCATTCAGAAATCAAGTTTCAGGAGAAAAGATTTCTACCACATCACCAACTCCAAAATCCTAGCAACATACAAGCACTTATAGGTGTAACAGCAGAAATTCTATTCTGCATAAAACATACACGAGGAGATAAATGTCATTAAGAAGTCAATATGCATCTGACAGGAAAGCAAACAGCAGGTGAGTAGAGTGCTTGCACCTCCTCTCCCCTCCACCTTATGTACAATCAGAATTCTCAGACGACTACAAACCCGTGGAACGACTGGCCTCACCCTCCAATGTCGGAGTGACAGTTCTGCCAACCACTTCCACCGTCTCTGTACTACTCTGCTCTGCTGTGCTGCCCAGTTTAGCGTCGAATTCACTGCGGAAGTCTTCCACTAACTGTTCCAAAGAAGCGCCTTCCGGCGGATTCGGTTCAAAGTGCTCCGTCTCGTTGCTGGCGAGGAAATGCATAAATTCTGGCATGTGGTGTTCCAGTCTGTGTTCCATCCACTCGTCAAACAAACGACTGTACTCCGCCAACTTCTCCGCATTGTTTGTCTTACGGTAGACGCGCTGTAAGCCCCGGTAGTCATACTCCAAACCACTGTAACCGGGGCCGAAAAGATCCAAACCTACAGAGTGAGCACGAGACCAACCAGTTAACTAATAAAAATTTGCGGAAAAAAATGAGACTGAAAACTTACTGATCTGAATGGAGCGAAGATAGAGTTCTTCTGCTTTATCATACATATTCATGTGGTAGTTGTAAAGACTAGCCAGATGACCGATGCTGAGGCCTACTTCGAAATCATTAGGACCCAGAAGACGCTCTTTGATCATAATGGCTTTCAAATGCATTTCCTCCGCAGTCTGCGTGATGAAGAACAAAAATCAACCAGTGAAAATAAAACTTAAATAGTTCGTGGCAGGATCGAACATCAAGATGTTGGAAAAAGCAAATGCTTAGTTCATATGAATCATTGTTTGAGAACTATATTAGCAACAGTGTTGGCTATTCGATGGTTGGATGTCACAATAAATGCACCCAAAAGGCGTCATCTGCTGCTGATGACTAGTGCCCGCAGCTTACAATGCGACTTTGTAACGTTGCCAAAGGATGCAAGAGAGCAGGTATGAACAACTGCAAAGAGCCAATACACCTCCACTGAATAGAGAGGTAAGGCCAATTCAGAGAGACAATTAGACAAAAATGACTACAGTGTGACTATGAAACAAAGTTGTATGGTGCCAGTCCTAATAGCCCACTTTGCCTTGAATTAAATGCTTCCACTGAGGGCGTTAGGTGCTTTCCACGCACTCATTGAATGCGAAGAGTACAAAAAACAAGAAACTAGCTCCGAAGAAGGGGCTAAAAGCTCATTGTTCTGAATCGCTAGAGTAGACGTAAACAAAATCATCCACCTCAAAGCAATGAGAAACGGAAGTAAATAAAATGAAGAAGCCAAAGTTGAGAGAGACAGCTTACCTGGTTGTGTTCCAAGGATTGGAAAAGGCGGCCAAGATTACCAAAGTGTTTGGCCGTCTGAATATTCCACACACCGAAAGTCTGAAATAAGGATTCGTAAGTTGGCCTTCACATTTCAGCAACGAATCATTTGCGGGAAAAAATCGTACAGGCTTGAAGTCGTAAATTCGCAATAAAACTTAATAAGGATTGTATCACTCATTAGTGCTACTTATCATGGGAAGTTTATTTAAATGAAACAGGTCAATCCAATTGTAAGCAAACAATTAGACTTACCCTTTCGCATAAATCCAGTGAGAGTAAATGCAGGTTTCTGGCATCCATGAGTTTCGTGTGCATTACATCTGGATTTCCATCGTCAATTGCAATCTCCTCCAAGATGAGAGCTGCAATGGGGGTGTGGGAGTCATCGCTGCTTCCCACTCATGCCAAAACCAAGCGCCTCTTATTTTTAGTGAAAAGTGCACAGCCAGAAGCGCTTCTTTGTTCAAAGTAACCTACCAAGGGAGCTCAGGTCGTTCTTTGTTGAAATTAGTCGAACACTGATCCACTCACCCTTACTTTCAATGTCTACTGCTCAGCAACCCCTAACAGGAACTGCAAGAATGAAGACTGAATATCATACTAGCTTTCGTCCCTTATAATGTGGATTTATAAGACTGGTTAATAACTTCTCCATTTGTATGATACACACGATACGAAGTGACTAGGGTGAAACGAAGAGAACAGGCAAATTAAAGAAGAGACCGAAGTCCTTTCAAATTTTTCCTTGAAATAAAAGTTCACTATTCTAAAGCTCAACGACACAAAGACCATGAATAATGAACTAAAAAACTCCATCCAAATTCTACTCTCCTTGTGATACCTTAAGCATGCTTTGTTCTGCTGTCCCTTTGTTGAGGCGTTATTTGACTCACACCACCATCTTACATAAACCCGATTATTTATCTTAGTTAGCTAGGACATTTGCACTACCAGCATGGACTGTTATAATGTGCAGCAGGCATACCTCAACTATGTACGCCTGAAGATGTATAAATTTTGCTATTTTGTTCGATCATATTGAGTAATGTCAAGCTTATTCAGTTTATTCAGTCATCCACCAATTTGTGCGAAATACGAAAGTTCAAAGGTGGAAAGTTCCACTTTTATAGTAGCTTGGAGGCCGATAAATTATTAAGTGGCACTCTCAAGGAGAGAGCACCAGTCGCTCCATCGTCAACCCCCTTCTCAAAGGCCAAACGCAAAAAGGGCCTTAGATTTCAACAAACACCAATGTTCCACAGGCTTTAACAAGCTCCGAAATTGAGGTGAAAGACGAATAGAAATGTATACAGAGCAAAACTGACGAAGAGGAAATGCAAGATGAAAAAGGGAAATGAGAAGGTTAGCAAGCTAACTCACCTTTAACACGGTTAGCTGAGGCCGACTGCATGCAAGACTGGTGCCCGAGCAGCTTCAGCGTATCGATAGCCTTATCAACGCAGCTCAAAGCAAATTCAAATTCGCCAGAGGTGTACTCCAGTACGTAGTAGGCATAAGCCAAATCCTCCAAAGCCAGTGACGCCGACACGCTCAATCCAGGCAGACAATCCGACACCATTGAAAGCCCAATCTGCAGAGTGGAAAGAATTTTATCAGGATATAAAATTCAGACCAATCAGTTAATAGTAGCCGATCATCATCTTAATAAACGTCAAAACACCTTAGAGAACCACCCGTGGATAAGGTTCAGTGGATTCTCCAAATTATGAGTAGCAAGCAAAGCTTAGACCATCATGATTTGAAACCGAAATTCACACCAACCAGAGACACAAAGCACCCTGAACCCAAGCTCGGTAAGCCCTCGAATCACTAGACGCTGAATCTTGTTTCATCGGATAGCCAAAATGATCACCAGACGCATAGCAAAAAATTAGATAAATTCACACCCATGGATGTTGGGAGGTTACTTCAAGTCTCTTGGGACGGAATTTCCAGAACTTGATTTAGAGAAGGATGGCCAATTGAGCGAAAAACTTCAAGTCTTCCTGAAATGACAGCTGATTTAGTAGATACGAAGGACCCAAGGTTCGGTGCAACTAGGTAGATGCCTGGAAAAGTTACTAAAGATAATCACTGACAGCTTTTGTGTTGTTGTGCATTTCGTCATTCAATTTCCAATGCTATCGCATAGACCATTGTTGTCGAAATTGGCAAACAGCAACTGGTGGAATACATTTGACTGTATTTCAAGCTGCTTAACGTCACTTGCTTCACTGATGCCTTTTTTACTTTTGCTTCCAGGCAAGAGTTAGCCTCGTCCTCCTTATTACATTCGCTTAACTAAGACCGCAACGCAGCTCAATTTGATTAAAAACACTTTCCTCTCTATCTGCTTCTCTAGTCTTTAAAAAGAAAGTCTTAACAGTCATTAAAGTAATTAAAAAGTGCTCTACGGACGTTCCGTTATGCCCACGGAGTTAACTATTCATTAATCCAATTGGCTAGGCAAACAATGCCCCACAGCAAACACATTTTAGACTATCGCCTTGGTGTGCTCTTTGACAAAATACAGACCAGATCGAAAACTCGTGACGAGCGCCGAAAGTGCACAATCTGAAAGACTCAGAAGCCGTATGATTAAGCGTCAACACTCAATCCGCCTAACACCTTCGCCACAAATAATCGCGTCAGGAAAATCGCCAAACAATGCTTGCAATATTCAAGCTAGTCAATTCAAATATCGATGTTAAGCAAAAAATAAGAGTACCATCTGGACGAGGACACCATAGCTCCAACCGTGATGCAATTTAAGGGTAAACAATCGTTTACAAGGCGATCAGATACACCAGGCTCATATATAACGTGTCGCTTATTCACGAAAAGTCAAAAAATAAAAGAATAATTTTCGATGATCTTAGAACTATTGAGCTACGGCAGCATTTATTTCGCAAAAAAGGAAATGTTTGCCGAGAAACTTATTGAGATAGAGAAGGAAGGTGGGAGAAGAGCATGGGTTCTAGCAAGGTCAACTGGACAAAAAAAGAATGAGTCCAAAATTACTGCAGACACTTGACTTGGTATCAAGGCAGGAAAACAGATAAGCCCCATTTCGCAGTCATTTCGGCTTCCAGAAACCACTAGCATGATCGACATTACTAATCATCCCACCTCACAAAGGAGTAGGATTTTGAAGCACTGAACAGGGAACACATCACCAAACCTGCCTATTATTAAATAAGTCAGTATTACTGAAGCAATCCCAACGCTGCAATAAAAGACGGGCTGCCATAATTTTTGGTACATCTTCATATACCTCCGCAATTCATGTAAATGTCAAGTTCTCTGCCTATCCTACGGTACATCACAAATCCGAAAAAAAAGTAATTTATGCGGATCACGGCAAAGTGCGGAAGGGTGTAAGACAGAGTTTTCCCAGGTTATGAATCATGGCAGATTTCGCATTGGCCGTCAGGTCTAAGAAGAAAACTGATAAATACAAACACATCCGAACCAGAGAAAATGGATCGTGGTTACTGCAAAATCAACCACTCTACCTTAGTGAACGCATTTACCAGAAATACCAGAAAACGGTCTTTGAAAAGGAATCCGAACAAATAAAGCAAAAATTGAACAAAAACAATGACAGGCTAATCAGGAAGCAAATAATAACAGTACGAAGCTTACTCGATAGAGTTCAGCAGCTTTTGTGGTGTTATCAGTATTAAGGAGGAGACAGCCATAGTCGAGGAGAATGTTGGCATAGAGAAGGTTGTGCGAACCCAACTTTTCTCTGTAGTTAAAGTGGCAAAATAAAGGGTTTCTGATAATTATTAACAGATAACCGAATGATCCAATCCTAATTTTCCGCCTGCTACAAGATATGTTAAAAGGGCGCACCTTGAGGCTGGATCCGAAATTCCTTCTGCATAATAAACCTCGTGTACGAAAAAAGGTTCCAACCAACCTGGTGAACTTGGCCAGCCACTTGATAATCCTCACACCGAGAGCATACTTCCTCTGAATGATGCAGATACGACAGGCTAACCGTAACACCTGAACCACCACACGAGAGGTGCACGGCACCACCTTGATCTGCTCGAGGGCCAACATAGCAAAACGAAAGGCGAGGCGGTAGTTGCAGAGTGCATAGTAGAAAGTACCCAGTTCCGCGAGTCCAAATGCCATGCAAATGGGTTGGTGAGGTAGAGAGTCACTAACACTAGAAGTGATAGTGAGTGGTACCGACAAAAGATGGACCAGCTCAGTATCATCGCCTTCGTCTTCATCCTCAGCTTGTACTTCCACCGGAGACACATAATACTGCCCACAATCCTCATCCCTCCTGCGCTCCAGGTTCAGAGCGTCGACAGAGAGGGCATCAACACTGTCTATGGTCTCGGACTTCTTGCTACACACCTCAGACTGAGTTCTCCGTGCCTGTTGTAACCCAATATACGCCAAGTAAATAGTTGTAAGAGAAAGCGATATTGGTCGAGTAGTACCTAACGAATAAGGGAATCTCAAGAATGTTAAGGACCTCGGTCTACGGGCGTTTGGTGTGAAAAAGGAGAAATTGTTAAAAGGTACATGTCTACTGGTAATAGCCAACTACTATCGGACACAGACATACTTGGGGCGTAAAGGAGAGCAGAATTAAGAGCATGCAGCGGAACACAATGGTAAAATATAAATGCCATTCATGGATCCCGCGTGGAGCTGCAAAAACTTGCCATAACCTTTAAGATCAGTTATGGAGGGAATAGCACTTCCCATAATACCATCGACCACACAAGCGCGCATAAAGATTGGTTGTTCGCAGTGATTGATAACAATAATTGGAACCGTCGCCATGCCAGCTAGTCAGACTAGTCGTCTGACGGTGGCAGAACATTTTAAGTCATGGAAAATAAAATATGCCAGTCCACCGTTGGGAAATCGTGAAGAGAGCAGGTAGAAATAGGAAATTCGCATACTTACCAAAGACTTTCGATAAAAAGCCTACAGGCATAAAGATTGACGGCAAGGATAACAAATTTATGGATGTGTGAGTGATTGAAAAACACGTAAAAAGCACTTCTGTCGTTAAAAACCACATTAGAAATGTTCCTCTTGCCAATAAATATCGATCTTGGCTAGAAATTAAGCTTAAATGGCAAAAAGTCATTCTGGCACTATCACTGTGAACGGATGTTTAGGAAGCTAAAATGACCAAGTAACCAGTTCTCAGCTGAATCACCACCAGTCATACCAGTGAGGCTTCCAGAATGAGATCAAAATCTGAGAAAAAATAACCCGAAAAATACATACTGAAGAAAATGGCACTTCAAAAACCCAAAAACTTACTTTGAAAAAATCAGACCAGGGGATGGCGCGAGCATAACAAAATAATTTAAATAGCAGCAAACCCATGCAATTGAGATAGAAATGATAAAAAGTATACAAATGAGAGACAAATTTGCAAAAATAGAATGTATGGTATTACAAAACAGTTCTGATTGGCATTCAGACCTGTAATATGCTAGCACAAAGGCTAAGATGGAGTAGTAGTTCAGCAAAAAAATGTTTGCAAGATTTGACCTGAGAACCTTAGGCACTAATCGCAGCAAATCTGACACCACTTAGTATCACTCCCAACGAAGCGAGTTTAGTTGCACACATGTGAAACTTTCCTAGAAAGCAAAACTACAGCATCTTGTAAGTTTACAGCGTTCTATTTTTGCCCACACAGTGCATCATAAAACGTGAAGAAAGAACGCCCCTGGTATTCAATCAAAAAAGCAACATCGATTTCAGTAGAAAAACAAATAGGGAGCCTCTCATTATTGTTGGGAATAAATATAAGGAGGGTAAACTATAACTAAACTATCAATAGTCCACCAGTTCAAAGAGTGCTCCAAGATGAAATGATATGGACAAACTTGTACACATTACACAGCAGCTATAATTATATCAAAATAAAAAAATAAGACACGATTAGAACCTTTCCTACGGCTCTAACCACATTTTTAGTTATTCAAACTCTCCACGACGCCGCCAATATCCTTCATTGCCAAAGGGAAATAAAAATGAACTCCACATCAACAAAGGGATAAAGGTAAGCAATGACGTCTTAGTGAGCTATTATATGGATGAGTTTCCACTATCGGTGTTATCGACTGCTACTTAAGAAAACTTACGTGTTACCTTAACGCATTTATTGACGGAAACCTGTAGATCGCAAATGCCGTCAGAGATGTACAGAAAAGGAATACAAATGAGATAGTAGAAGATAGCATTACAGAGACAAAATCAAGAGTAATGGATTCTATCTTAGCCCACTCGTCTCAAAAACACGACTTCTAAATTGAGCGCATTCCTCCAGCTGAAATCCAGATCATGCAAAAGCGACAAGTACACTCACCGAACAGGATGAAGAAGGAGAATCGCCAGCCGAGGGATCAGGTGCATGGTAGATGATCCTCGCCATTGTTCCTGGTGAGAATGAGAGCGTCGAAAGGCCACGCCGAAAGCCCGAATTATTATCGCCCCGTGGTAACGAAGCCAGCAACTGTTCCTCACTGGACCTGTTTGAAGTGGCACTCAATCCCAATCGATTTATCCGCAGAAGGACTTGAGGAGCCGTCTTGTAGAGGATGTCCCGATGATCTGGGTCCAAATACATGGCGTAGGCGTTCATTGACTGAAGCATACTAAACCAAAGGGAATGTGGTCATAACCTAAAGCATTGACAGTAAACTAAAGTAGTCAAATGTTTACGGTACACAGCGATAATTATTTTCAACGAATAATTTCTAATGCATCGAATATTTAATGTGTAACTTACACACAAAGAGCCTCATACTCCCAACGAATAGTAGTAGTTTCGAGATCAGGACTGGCGATGGAGAAGGCATGAACCGACTTGAAGATGGCGTAAGAAGCGCGAAACGCGTGGACGAATTCGGAGGCATCATAAAAAAACTTGCTAACTTTCACGCAGAGTTTGACAGTAGAGAGAAAGGAGGAAAACTCCTTGGAGCAGGTTCTCAAAGCCTCTTGAACATTTTCAACCAGCCGGTCGGAAATCGGATGCTGTTGCCAAGGCGGATCAGCATCGCTATCAGCTGAAATCACATGTGAATACAATTCAACCAAATATTTTCTGACAGACTCAAAGTTGGTGATGAGCAATGTTTCACAATTACTCACAGATCCATGTGTGTTGCATCCAGGAGTAGATGAAAAGCTGCTCATCTCTAAATGTAGCTGATTAAAATCCAAAGGCCGTTTACCTGATCGAGTCATACAGAGCCTCAAACACACGCAAATCCGAAAGAAAATCATGGACAACTTTAACACTTTCAAGCGCACCTTCGTGGTGTAAAAAACTACAATGTACCATGGGAAACCAAAAAACAAAAAAATTCTAGAAACTATACATAACTACCAAGCGAACTTACAGAAAGGATCACAAGGGCTAAATTATCAGGCAGTTTTAACACGCTTTCCAGACCACCAGGTAACGCTCTGTTCAGTGACAAATAAAACGCACTGAGGGACTGAAGTGAGGGACCGCGTGCCGTAAAACGTTTAAAAAGTCTATGGGAAACCGGGCAGCATTTGATGTGACCGTAGAAGGTGTAAACATCTTCAATAGTTTCAAAATCGTCTGCTTGAAAAAATGTCCGTAAATCATCCACGCAATCGAAACCCAGCAGCTCCTTTAGGTAAAAAAACGAGTCACCAATTTTTTGAAAGAGTGGGTTGTCGTCTTCCAAATCGTAAACCGACAAGGAATACAGATCCGAAAGAGGAAAGCTTAATTCACCACTCATAAGGTAGACTTCCGAGTTAAGTGGTATCAGAAGGCTAAATAACCGCAGCTGGAAATGCTGCTGATGGTGCAAAAATTTAAACACAGAAGGACAAACAATAATAAAAACCCAAATATTGTTGTATGCTTTTGCTGCGTACATTATGTGTTATCATAAAAATTGCATCTGATTGTATAAATCATACAGGGGACACTGAATGGCGAGATATACTAGTTTAGCTAGCTATAAGCTTTATTATGCTCTAAATTATGATAAATAACTTCACTACTGTAATGAGCTGGCGTTAAAACTAAGTACTTAGCATTAATGAAACGCCCTGCAGCCTTTTATTTTGTAGAAGACGGTATTTAGATAGGCTGAATATATGTATTCTGGGAGGATAAGGATAGATTACACCTTTGTCAAGCCCACAGGGAAGGCTCACGTGTACAAGAGCAAGATTAATTCTAAAGCGAATTTTAGTTATTAGGGACCCTCTTTTGAGCCCCTTTCTTAGCGCCGTGCCAGTCATGATAATGTATCTGATGCTACAATGCCACATCAATGAGCCAGCCGCGCCAATCATCAGCTTTCATGGGATTGAGGAGTTACACTTGGTAGCCCCAGCAGCTCCAACTGGATCTAAGGCTAACTTCGATCTGACTGTCGGAATCAGTCCTACACGCACCTATTGACCAGCATTTGCTTCCATGGCTAGAAGAGACTGAGCGTTTCGAGATTTCCTGCCTGCTGGAAGAAGGTAGTGAATGTAGCTGAATACCTATATTCCAAGGAGAACGAGAGGTAAGCCCATGAGTACAAGGGCCAGACAAATCTTAAAGTAAGCGCCAGATATCAGCTGCTCACCAAAACAAAGCATTACATGACGGGATCAAAGGGAGTCTCTTATATGAGGGCATCTGCGGTAGTGTCATATCCAGCATCTATACGCAGACGTGGTAAGAATAAGTAGGATACGAGAATTCTTCGGATGATTTTACGGCAGTGTTCCTTCATATTTAATGGATTATCTCTGGGGCACATAAAATAGGAGCCAAAAGCGGACTTCATTCTCAACCCTCCTATTGTGAAGAATTAAGACAATCTCCTGCCCGCAGTGTGTGCCTTTCCCATGCATCGTAGATACGACACAAACCAGGTTCAATTTTAGCTGACTTCAGTGTAGCTGTCCGGGACTTCCCACCAGACAGAATAAGGCATTCGGTTAGGCTAAATGAGTGTATTCTAAGGGATTGTGAGAGGATTAGACCTTGGCTCATCCCGAAGGCGGGAAACCGCCAGACATCAGGTTTTCGCATAAACAAGATATTACAATCAGTTACGATAATTGGGTAAGTAACGCAAAGTACCTAAATGATCGCCAGTCATGCAGGTAGACAAATAAACAAGATATTAGAGTATCCTAAGTAGAATGACCTAACCAATGCCGCCACCCAAGACGTGGAGCTTAAGTTTTCCATCTACCACCTTACGGAACGTATCTGCGGAAGGCGAGAACCCAATGAAATGCTGCGCCAGCAATAAACAGTGCGAAAACCTTTGATCCCAGCATTATAGTTCGCTCTTAGCAGCTTCGATTGGCTCTAAGGCATCGTTCCAATAGTTTTATGATCCAAAATTCAAAACTGTCGACTATTACTTAAGTCCATTGGTACTCCTTAAAGCATTGGTCTTAAGTAAAGTTGTGTATGGTTGGGATACTTTAAAATAATATATTCCTGGATAATTCATAGCAAATGTCACTATGAAGTTAATGCAAAATACAGAAATTGTAGACCACATTGCCAGCCCTCTCAATGTGAAGGCTCCCTCTATCTGTCACCAAAGCATATGCACTTCACTTGCACTACAAAGTTTGCCATAATTAGTAAAAAAAGTGGAGCCGATTTCCTACCTGTAAAATGGTAAGTAGCGAGCTTATATTACGCGTAAACCTAAAAATCCAGACAGGAAGGATAAATCCAGACTTTAAAGCAGTGCAAAAGGCAAAAATTAAATAACTTGAAGGCAGCTGCCATTGGGACGCGAAGTAACACAAACAAAGCCTTGTAAATTTTACATTAAGATGTCAACATTCAATTAAGAAATGCAATGGAAAGTTATGAACAGAAAAGAGAAAAAAACATTTATCAGTGCTTATAAAAGCGCAAGGGAGTAAAGCAAAAAGTCAGTCAAAATGTGGTGTGTTTGCTATTTTCGTAACTGCACGACGCAGCAGAACAGAGGGACC